AGGAAAGCAAATGCAGTGGCAGATGCTTTGAGCTGAAAATCTATTAGGAATTTGTCATGCTTTCTTACCGATCAGAAGAAATTGTTATGTGATTTGGAGAGAAATGAGATTGAAATTGTGTTGCGTGAATAGGTGAATAGAGTGGACTCCTAGCCGCTATTTTTGCCTAACCTACCATCATTGATGAATTTAGAGAGAAGCAGTTGCAAGATGAATTTTTGAAATAGATTGTGGATGAAATTGACTCAAAACCAAGGCTGGGATTTGTGATCGAAAATGACGTGCTGAAATTTCAGAATAAACTTTGTGTACCGGATTGTTTTGACTTGTGGAAATGTGTTATGACTGAAGCTCACAACTCCAAATTTGCTATGCATCCGGGGAATACAAAGACGTATCATGACTTGAAACAGAATTTCTGGTGACTTGGAATGAAGAAAAGTATTGCTGATTTTGTGACTAGGTGTTTGCATTGCCAACAGGTAAAAGCGGAATATCAACGACCCGCTAGACTACTTCAACCACTTCCAATATCGGAATGGAAATAGGAGCACATTACCGTGGACTTCATTGTCAGGCTGCCTCACTCCTCCCATGTTATGGATTCTGTTTGGGTCATAGTTGATCATTTGATTAAATCCACACACTTTTTACCTATCAAAACTTTTTATAATGCGGATAAATTGGCTAACATGTATGTGAATGAGATTGTGAGATTGCATGACGTACCAGTATCTATTATACCTGTTAGAGACCCCAAGTTTACCTCGAGATTTTGGCAGAGTTTGCAACAAGCTTTGGGGACTAAATTGAGATTGAGTAGTGCTTATCACCCACAGACAAACGGCCAATCAGAAAGAACAATACAGACTTTGGAGGATATGCTTAGAATGTGTGCCCAAGATTTCCAAGGCAATTGGGAGACCTACTTACCATTGGCCGAGTTTGTGTATAACAATAGCTACCATTCGAGCATCGATATGGCTCCTTATGAAGCTTTGTATGGTAGAAAATGCCATTCTCCGATATATTTAGTTGAGGTAGGCGATAGGCCTTTGTTGGGACCGGAACTTGTACAAGAAATGACTGAAAATATGAAATTGATTCAACAAAGATTGAAAACTGGACAAAGTCGCCAAAGGAGTTATGCGGATGTCTGAAGAAGAGACAAAGAATTTGAAGTCGGTGATCATGTGTTTATCAAGTTAACTCTAATGAAAGAAAAAACTCTATTTAGGGTTAAAGACAAGTTGGCTTCGAGATACATTGGTCCGTATGAAACCCTAGAGAAAATCAATTCAGTAACATATCAAGTGGCCTTACCTCCGATCACGGAGCAATTGCATAATGTCCTTCGTATTTCAATGCTCCGAGATTACTTGCGAGATCCTCTACACGTGCTTGAGCCAACTCTTGTGTTATTAAAAGATGATTTTACTTATGAAGAACGACCGATTTAGATTGTCAATCGAAGGATCAAAAGACTAAGAAACAAAGAAATTCCATTTGGGAAACTGAGGAAGATATGATGAAAAGATACCCTGATTTGTTCCCTCTAGATCCAACATTCTTCCAAACTGAAGGTAATTTGAGTTTAGAGGACCAAACTCTTTAAGTAGGGAAGAGTATAACAACCCCGACCTATGATTTGCTTTAACCTTTGATTAAGAATGTTTAATAAGTAATTACGAGGAAATTCTGAGTTAATTGCATGTGAATTGTGTTATTTGTGTTGGTGTCTTTCTGTCATAGAAATATTTGTCTGTGTTTTTATTCTATTTTGTGAATTGAAGGCCTTATCACCCGCAAAATGTGAGAATATTAGCATTTTTAGAATTTTATGGTAGGTTGAGTTGAAATTTGATTCGGAACCCAATAATTAGAATAAAATAATTATTTTTTATTAGCCTAAGCAAGAATTAATTAAACTCCACTAATGAGCCTATATAAGGCCAATATTAGTCTACAACTCATTCTTACACACACTTTATAATCAATCTTGAGGGGTAAAAAGAACGTGGAAAAAGGGAGAGAAGAAGAGAACTTGAGTTCAACATTGTAAAAGAAGGAGATTGAGGAGAATTGGCTTGGAATCTAGCTAGAGATTTGAGTTCTGGGAAGAGCAACTTAGAATCATTAATAACTCAAGATCTTAGGTGAGTATTTAACTCCTAATCTTTGTGTTTAAGTTCTTAAGAAAGAGAATTCAAGAGATTTGAGTGTTAAAACATGAGAACTAAGCTAAAAGAGTAGAATTGGAAATCACATCATGCATGCATGCGCATATTGTGAAGTTTTAGAAGTTATTTCAAAAGAGTTTTCACATGCATGTCCACATCTTGGTTTTGTTCAAGGAATTCAACTAAACACCTCATTTGATTATGAGTTGAAAGCTTTGAATTCAATTTATTACATGCATGTTATGTTTTGGAAGTTTTAAGTTTGGTTTTGATATAATTGGCAAAGCTTTTGGGCTTCATTTTGCGAAATGCCTGTCAAATCATGAAGTTTTATGAATTTATAAGTGTATTCTTAAGTTTTGGCCCAAAAGAAAATGTTTTGTTGCCTTAGAATTGAGATTTAAAGCTAGGAGTGCAATCTGGAAATTCAAGAATTCTGCATTTCCGCTCGAGCAGCATAAGTTGCGCTCGAGCGAAGAAGTTTAAGCTTGAGCGTAAAATTCATGCTCCTAGAAGTTTTACAAAATTTTGCAGACCACTCAACCGACCAAAGTTGTGCTCGAGCGAGGACCCTGGTTACCCAGTCTTACACTCGAGCGACTGTCAAGCGTTCGTCAAGCGGAAAAATCATACAACCAGTACTTTTATAAAGTTTTGCAGATCGCCCTAGTGACCAAAGTTGCGCTTGAGCAAAGACTCTTATTTCTGAACTTTACCTCAAGGAAGGAAGTTGCGCTCGAGCGGACTGCCTTGTTTTTTTAAATATGACTAAATGTTCTAAGGCATATTTTGGCATCCTCATTGCATCTTAGCCATTCTTAAGCCCTAATTAAGACATAATAGTGAGGATAAAGATTAGAAACACACCCAAACAAGAAAGAAATGAATTAAATGAATTTCGAGCGTATGCTGTAATGTGTATCCATTCTGTGTTTGTGTAGGTCACGCGCCATAGGCTATCTGGTTATCTGCTCTGTTGGTCTGCTTTATTTGCTCTGTCTGTCTGCTATTGGAGCCAATTGTAAGTAATAACCTTGTAAAGTTATGTTCAATTATAAGTATTTTCTGAATGATATATGATGATCTATTTTCTAACATATTATTTTCAGCATGAATGAATGGTTGTCCAATGTTTCTGAAATGTATTTGTGGCATCATTAGCTTCAAATGACACTTATTATCTATTCTATTATGTCCCAATTATGGGCCAACTGTATGTCTCATGAGCCAACTATTATGGATCCTTTTATATACGTCCCATTTATAGGCCAACTGTATGCTTCATGAGCCAACTATACCATCTCCATGAATGTAAGTCAACTGTATACTTTGGGGTCGTCCCTTTATGGGTCAACTGTTTCTGTTAGTGCTAATAGATGTACCACGTATGATTAACAGTGAATTCTGAATATGAATATAAATCTGTTTCTGATATGAACTCTAATTTATGAATCTGTAATGGACATCATTCATTAAAGCCCTTAACTCTGTTATTATTCACTAGGCTCTAGCTCACTGTATTATTTATGTTTGTAGGTGAACAAGCACGTGACCAGGCTCAAAGTTGATTGCCTGGAGTTCTATCTGTCTACCAGCCACTGTGCCTCCCAAGTTGTTTCTTTTTGAGAAATGGTCAAGTTTTTGTGAACCATGCTAATGGTCTTTTGTATTTCTTTTGTTAAGTTTGAACATATCTTTCATTGTCTATGTATATATATATGGTGACATCAATATGCAAATAAGTTTTAAACTTTATGTCCTATGCGTGTTTACACAGCTCTATGGATGTTATATGTATATATTTACTTTTGCTAGCCCCTGTATTTTGTTTATTTGTTCAGATGCCTTGGGTAATCCCAAGATTACAGGCCGGTTATGATACTAAACCCATAGGGGCAGGTTTGTGTTATGACACCAAGTATCCCATGAACTTACCTTATTGAACTCCAAATGCACACTTCGAGGCATTGAGTCAAAGCCGATTTGATCTCAGGATGTCAAAGACTGCCTTCAGGTCAGCCAGATGGTTTCCAGGTTCCTTGGTTTTAACAACCATATCATCTAATTAGACCACCACTGTCTTCCCAATCAGATGTTTGAACATCTGGGTGACCAATCTTTTGGTAAGTTGATCCTGCATTCTTCAACCCAAAAGGCATTACTCAGTTGCAATAGAGTCTTTTAGTGGTGATGAATGCCGTCTTCTCTTCATCTGGGGCATACGTTGGTCTCTGGTGATAACCTTTGTATGTGTCCAGAAAACTTATCCTCTCAAGCCCTGGTGTGGCATCTACCAATTGATCAATCTTGGACAATGGGAAATTGTCCTTGCAGTATGCCTTGTTCAAGCTTGTGAAATCCACACAGACCCTCCACTTCCCATTCTTCTTTTTCACCACCTCTGTATTAGACAACCAAGTGGGATAATTCACTTCTCTAATGGCCTGTGCCTCTAGTAACTTGTCTACTTCTTCCTCAACTGCCTGCACATGGAACAATGTTAGCCTTTTTTCTCTTTGGACGACTGGCTTTGCTGACCTGTCCACCGTAAGTTTGTGACAGGTGACCTCGGGTCTGATCCCCGGCATTTCATAAGGTCTCTAGGAAAGCACCTCTATGTTCTCTCTCAAGAAAGCCTCTAGCTCTCTTTCTTCTTCCTCGGCTAAGCCAGAGCTGAGAATGAAGAATAGTTCATCATCTCTTTCCTGCACCAAAACCTTTTTCAGTAGTTCTTCACTTTACTCGGCAAGTTCTTTGTCAACATCATCCAAGACCTCGTGGTCTTCGCTTTCAATCTCTACACTCTCTGCTCCCCTTACATTACAAGTGTACTTCATTGCCGCCATAGTGAAAATTTTCACTTGTACTTGGTCCCCTCCTTACTTCTTCAATCCCTTGATCAGTTGGGAATCGTAACAATTGGTGTAGCATGGAGGGAACAACCCTCATTACATGCAACCAAGGTCGTCCCAGAATGATGTTGTATGGGAAGGGAGTATCTATCACAGCAAACTTCATTTTTACCTTCTTACTTCCTGCCTGCACTTCTAAATTTGTGGCACCGAGAGGCCATGTCAATGTCCCATTGAATCCGACCATAGGGTTATCAGATTGCTCTAAGTCATCTGGGTGAAGGTCAAGCTCCTTGTAACATCTGACATACATAATGTCACAAGAGCTACCATGATCAATTAGTATGCGTCTTACTTGCCAATCTCCAATCTTTAGAGTTACCAACAGGGTATCATTGTGCGGATCCTGCACCATATCCAAGTCGGCCTTAGTGAAAGAAATCATCGATTCCTGATATATATTTCTTCTGGGTTTCTTTTACTAGACTTGATATACATGTTGCATGTGCCTTACTCTCTGGGTCACCCCTCAAACTTCATTCTTATTGACCTTGAAGTGAATCACATCGATTACCCGAGGTCCCTCTGCCTGTCGTGGTGGTGGTAGTGGTGGAGGGGTTGCTGTTTGCGCCTGGGGCAACCTCACATGCTCTTCCCTTATCTTCGCCTCATCCATTACGTCTCTCAGGCGACCCTGTCTGACCAGATCCTCCAAGTGTGACTTTAAAGCCTGGTATCCCTAAGTCAGGTGTCAATCGTCATTATGGTAGGCACAATGCTTTCTAGTGCTCCTATCCATGAACTCGCCAGGGATCTTCTTCGGTACTCTGTAGTACGGCTGGTTCCTGATCCTCTCCAAGGCTTTATAGATCAGGATCCTGAATAGCATGCTGACTACCTGCATAGCCCTCGCTCCTATTGCCTACCTGTTAACAGCGGCATTCTCTCGGCCTCACTTCAGCGAGCCGTTTCTCTTTTCTTGTTTTGGTGTCCTTGCTCCTTGTGTGTCTTCCTCTACTATGGGATACTTCTTAATCTATGCCATGAGCTCCTCCATGCTCTTTAATAAGGTTTTTGCAAGTGATTTTTGAAGCAATAATTTATTATCTAGGCTGTTCTTGAAAGACACGACTGCTAGCTCCTGGTTACAAGCCGGAATTCTATTGTACACCTCATAGTATCTCTTGGCGTAAGCCCAGAGGCCTTCGCTATCGCTAATTTTCAAAGCCAGTAAGGAGTCTTTCCTCAGTGGCTGTGACTTGTTCGTAACAAACTTGGCCACAAACATTTCACCTAGGCCTTCCCAACTCTTCATTGTTCCTTTCGGCAACTTATGCAACCAATCCGATGCTATATCCCCAAAGGATGATGGGAATAGTTTGCACAGCAGCTGCTCATTCCTCATCCTGCTCCACAAAGTCATTGGAATTAAATACAACCCAACATGAATGTTTGGATCGGACTTACCGTCGTAGATCTAAAACATCGGCATGTTGAATCTCTTCGAAGCCTCAAATGTATCCAACTTCCCTGAGAATGTCGTCCTCGGCCAGACATTAGGTGTGATCTCGTCGGTGAGTCTCTTTTTCTGGAGGTAATCTCTCAAATCCTCCTTCATTCTATCGGGAGCTCGGCTATCACTAGACTTCAGTCTCTTCGGCATGCTGCTCTAGGTGAAATTGTTCGTCCTCTTAGACTTCCCTTCATTCACTGTATCAAAATAGAGACCTTGCCCTTGGATCTGCCGAGATCCTTTAACAAAGGTCCCTTTGGTCCGCGGTGTCCTTTGTGATTCGCCTCATACTAACTCGGTACGCCTGACATCCTTTGATGGCCGATGTGAGTTTCCTTGTCCCTTGTCATGCTATGGGATAACTAAGACTGTCTTCTTTCCTCCCTTTAGGGATCTCGCCGGTGAGTCTCTTTTTCTGGAGGTAATCTCTCAAATCCTCCTTCATTCTATCAGGAGCTCGGCTATCACTAGACTTCAGTCTCTTCGGCATGCTGCTCTAGGTGAAATTGTGCGTCCTCTTAGACTTTCCTTCATTCACTGTATCAAAATAGAGACCTTGCCCTTGGATCTGCCGAGATCCTTTAACAAAGGTCCCTTTGGTCCGCGGTGTCCTTTGTGATTCGCCTCATACTAACTCGGTACGCCTGACATCCTTTGATAGCTGATGTGAGTTTCCTTGTCCCTTGTCATGCTATGGGATAACTAAGACTGTCTTCTTTCCTCCCTTTAGGGCACCAGTCTTAGTTGCTGGTGTCAGTGTCTCTTATAGCGGGAATGATGGCTACATCACGTTGTTCTGCATCATGAAGTTGACCATAGTCTGCAGGTCTATCAACTTGTTTGACATTTATTTCATCTCCTCATTCCTTCTCAGGCATCTATCCTTCCATACCTAGAGGCCACTTTCATTGCAGTATTCATCTCAGCCTCCTTTTTTCGAGCTATTGCACCTCTTGCCGGCATCATTCACCCTAGGATTTGGTTCTTGTACTCCCTCATTATGATTTTCTTCTCTGACTTTAGGATCCACATGTTCCTCTTCCTCACTGTGGATGTCGTCCCTAATTCTTTCTTTTTGTTTGTTGTTGGCTGTCCATTCTCCTTAAGTCCCACAAACAGTGCCAAATTTTGGGTGTTGATTTCCAACCACACAACCAAAAGGGTAACTCAGCTGGAGAGCACCGGCGGAATAGAATGAGCCAACTACATACCAACAAGAAAATGAGAATTCTGCGGTGGTTCGTCCACCTGAGGACACTCCAACAATCAAGTCAGTAAACTTTATCGCTCACAGATACCAAATAGTACTTAAACCCACAAGAAAGAACTTACCTTAGACCCATGATAGTGTCTCACTTTTATAACCCATAGTTACCTGATCACCTAGAAGCCTCACTTCATTGGACTCAGGCTCAATGCTCATCCTAGACTCTCGGCTAGATAGGGATAACTCTTTATCAGCTTTATCCGTATCCAAACTAAGATCCTCTCTTGTTTTAGGACTCTTGTGCCTTATCCGAATACCCCGGCATTCTGGTATTACTGTAGAACATCTCGGCAATGCCATGATCACTTTGATGACATGACTCATCCATGTGGCACCCTAGCCAACATCTCAGGGCTATCTTGGCCACGTGGCGTCATTCGCAAAAAACTTCCCCACACTATAATTGTTAAAGTTTGTAAAATTTACTATGAATTTGTAATTATGTTGATAAGCACCACTGATTTGTTATTTCCCTTTAAATTATTCATTTTGTAATACCTTTTCATGTGTATCTTTTGCACAAAAAATTTGATCAATTTGACAATCATAATTTATTCAATTTATCTAGATTCGCACCCAAAAAATAAATAAAATGAATGATCTGTTTTTAAAATACTCTTATGATTTATTTTTATTCTCAAACAAATGTAATAAATTGAATAGACTACAGTTATCCACTTATTATTATTGTGAATAATATACACAAAGGACCTTACAAATTGAACGGTGTGAATGATCGAAATGAGACTCGTGGTGACTCCTATAAGCCCTCACAAATGTAAGCCTATTTTAAGAATAATGGTATATAAATAATATATATATATATATACAAAACAAATTTATACAAAATGACATGAAAAAATTGTACGCATTTCTTTTATATCAAAATGTCTATCGAAGTAACAATTTTTTGAAAACATTACTATCGTATTATTATAATAGATTTTTATATATAATTTTTTGTTTAGAAATTAATATATATATATTGGTAAATGACTGATATGGTAGTCAATTTGACATAGATAGAAAAAAGTTTTAAGTCACATTGAATATCTCGCTCCAGGATCTAGACTGGAAGGTATTGTTTGGATTCAACTGATTCATCACAGATCTAGCTTTGATAATTTGAATTGTGAATTTTATAAGATTCTTCATATATATATATATATATTATTCAAGAAAATAAAATAAAATAGGTCAATACGATATTTATAACCTATTCAATTATCGCGTTCCTGACCAAAAAATTGATGGTTTATTTAGAAACACACTCATCTCTTTTTGAAACAATTGCAATAAATTGAATAGATTTTGATTATCGGATAGATCGATCTTTTTTCATAAATAATATACACAAATGCCCCAACAAAATAAACGGTTTGCATCGACAAAACAAGACCTATGGTGGAGCCCATGAGCCTCGACAACACCGTCCAATCTAAATTATGGACCAGAAGGAAGCTTGTCAGTATAAATTATGTGTGGGATATATTATACTTCAAAATATAAATTTAATTAATTATTAAAAATATTCATTGAAATGTCTTTAATTATATTTATTATTTGTTGTAACTCATGGATTAATTTTCCATTTTATGTTGCAGCGGTTTAACTAAATAAAAGTTGCATTCATAGTGGATTTTTGTTACAACATTTTTTGTAAATGTTTCATCGGTTGGCCACTTACATATATCTCTCTATCTATATAAGTGTCGCTTCCATTAATGTGGCGCTTTATTTTCTTCCGAAGCCCTTTTAATCGTGACTTATGTAATTGACTTTCTAAATTGTCGTTTGCACGTGAATTATGAAAGTTGCCACAATGTGAGCTGGGTTCGTGACAAAAACTGAAGCCTACTTTATTGTTATTTGGAAGTTTTGATTATTATGCTATCTTTCACTGTGCTTTTTAGAATTATAATATTATTAATAATAATTATATTTTATATCATGATTCTACTCTTAGATAAGACTCATTGAGATCCTGATTGGTAATTTAGTAGTCTTTTTACACTTTTAGAAGCCAAACAAGATGATTACTTTTTAGGCCTTCAGGCCATAAATTTAATTTTGAATTTTTTTTATTCAAAAATTCATACTCTAAAATACTTTGTCATAAGGAGAAGTTCATACAAAATTGAGAAATATAAAAAAAAAAATCAAGATATTGATTTGTGATTATATTTCAATTTTAAATAACGAATGACAATCTCAATCAAACAATCAAAGACAAACCGACACAACGATTTAATATGGAAAAACCACAATTGGAGCGTCTTGAATTGTGATAGAAAAAACTACGGGCCAATGTCATAAAACAATCTACTAGAAAGACAAAAAGAATTGCACAAGTATACTCTCAATTACCTAGCAAATTTATGTCCATATTGAACTAACCCCAACGTGCCTCATCCACCACCATCTTCACCTCATAATTGTCTTGTCCAACGTTGAATCCACAGCGCTGATGTCGAATTCATGACGATGAGCCACTCTAGAATCCACCAAAGCTTCAGGCCAAGTTCTCCGGAATCCACCGAAGAATAACTCTCTCTTTTGTGAATAAAAAAAAAATAAACAAACCCTTTGATGATATTGATATAAAGTTCATGGATCCATTAATCACTCTTAAATCATCAAGGAAACACTCATAAATCACCCTCCA